CCTTAATCCCCATTTATTCGAATCTTCTCAAAAGTTATCTCCTCTAAAGTCCTTCCTTGAACACTATCTAAAGTAGTACTTCTTAGCCACTCTTTCGGTCTTGTCTCCTTTTAGCTCATATTACTACCTGGTCTTCATATTTATCTGTTTGTTTGTTATCTGTTTGTGTGTTTACTGTTTCTCTCCCCTAGAATGCAAATTCCATGAACGCAAGGGTGTTCTCTCTTTCGGCTTCTGCTGTATCCCAGGGCCTTGCAGAATGCACAGCACATACTAAAAACTCAGTAAGTGTTTTGAGTGAATGAGAGAATGAATTATCTCTTTGATAAACTCCTATCAGGTTTCTTTCCCACTGATACCTCTGAAACTGTTAAAGTCACCAATCAGCTACACCTTACCTCTCCGTTACTTTCAAGTTAAGGTACAGCCTAAGCTGCTATAACAGATACCCCAAAAGATAGTGATTCAAGAGAGAGATTAACTTCTTTCTTTCACAACAGAATCCAGAGGGAGGTGGGAAATCCACAGCAGATGGGCAGCTTGGCTTCATAAGAGCATTCAGGGATCAAGGTTCCTTTCATCACTTTCTCTGATATTCCTTAGAGTATAATCCTCACGTGCATGATTAAAGCTGGGTCACTTCCATGTCCACATTCCAGTTATGGGAACCAGGAAAAGAGGATAGAGGAAGGCACACTCTATATTCTAAGGCCAAATCTAGCAGATTGCTTAAATTTTTTTTCTTACAACTGGAACTTAGACACATGGCCCCGTAGCAGCAAAGGAAACTGGTGAATGCAGTCTCTGTATGAGTGGCTATGTGTCCAGTTAGAACTCAGTGGTTCCTATTATTAAAAGGACAACAGAGAAACTGGTTGCGGTGTACATTAGCAGAGATGACCAACATCCTAAGAACATTTGCCATGGCTGATCATTCTTTCCTTCTTGAAATACTTTTGTTCCCTTGGCTTCTGTGACATGGCCCTCTCCTAGTTTTCTGCCTACCTCTTTACCATTCTCAGGCTCTTTGCTTGTTCTAGTTCTTCTGCTGGAATTTTTTTTTTTTTTTAAGTAGGCTGCATGCCCAGTATGGAGCCCAATGCAGGGCTTGAACTCAAGACCCTTAGATTAAGACCTGATCTAAGATCAAGAGTTGGCCACTTAACTGATAAGCCACCCAGGTGCCCCTTCTGTTGGACTTCTAAATTTTGGACCAAGGCTATGTCTGTGTCATCTCCTATTCTGTCTGTCTATATTGTTCCAGCGATAATTTTATGCAATCATATTATTTTATATGCCATTTAGATAGAAATAACTTTGAATTTATGTCTTTAGCCAGGACCTTTCCCTGGAGCTCTGAACTCATATATCTAACTGCCTATTTAACATAGCTGACCATTACTGCTCATTGCTTCCCCCACACTCTTCCTTCTAAGCCTTTTGTTCCAGACTCCTGCACCACAGGAAATATTTTCACCATCAATCCAGTTGCCCTGGCAAAAGCTTAGGTATCATCCTTAGCTTTACTCTTTCTTTTACTCCCCACTGGCCAGTACTAGGCACTCAGCCTCCTAAAAACAGATCCCGGATGTGTTACCTTTTTTCTATTCTCATCACTACCACCCTGAGCAAAGCCAGCATCATCCCTCTCCTGGATTCCTCATCTCTCTTTTTCTAATCCTACCCCCTGACAACCCCCTTCCACATAGCAGCCTGAATGATCATTTAAAAACATGAATCAGGACTCTTGGGTAGGACAGCTTGTAAAGCATCCAACTCTTGATTTCAGCTCAGGTTGGGCTCTTGGGGTCACGAGATCAAGCCCTGCATCAGGCTCAGTGCTCAGTGTCGAGTATGCTTGAGACTCCCTCTCTCTCCCTCCTTCTGCCCCTTCCCCTGCTTGCTCTCTCTCTCTCTAAAAAAAATAAAAAATCTTAAAAAAATTTAAAAATAAAAACGTGAGTCAGGTTATGTCCCTCCTCTAACCTCTCTAGTGTTTCCCATTGCACGTAGAATAAAAGCCAAACTCTTTACCCTGGTCTACAAGACCCTGTAAGGATTGACACCATCTACCTACTTCTCCAGTCTCACCTCATGTACTTGCCGTCTTGGTGAGCCCATTCCCACCATAGTGATAGTGGCACAAAACAAGGTCATTTTCATTTTAGGGTCTCTGTATGGGCTGTTAGCTATGCATGGAACACTTGCTTTCCACATCTTCCCCGGGGCAGCTTCTTCTCATTGTTTTGGTCACATCTCAAATGCCAGCTTCTCAGAGAAGCCTTCCTTGTCCACAGAGACTTCAGGGGACTCTCTGTCTCAACCCATAACTCTCTGTCATGCCGCACTGTCTTGTTTTCCTGGTGGTAGTTACTACTTATGTAGCATAATCTTTCTGTGGATCATCCTTCTCCTCACGTGGAATATAAATTTCCTGAGAGCAGGGTTTGTCTTGGCTACACTGTACCTCCACAGCCAGGCATAAGTTGGGCCCTCAGTAAGGATCTGCTGAATGAATGCCTGGATATGGCTCACATTTTGACCCATTCTCAGTATCTTCGGAGTGTTTTAAAGACCATGACAGTCAGAAAAAAGATTTTATATTTCCAGTGTCAATTAAAGACATTCCATACATCTTTAAGACCATGAAATCTACCTAGTCTTTGACATAAGGACAGAAAATGATATTCTTATTTGGCAAATTTACCAGAAGTATTTAGGACAGACCACAGTTTGTAGTACAGGGGTTCTTAATCTGGGTCCATGATCCCTTTGAAGGTCCATGGGTGAGCTGAAATTATTTGCAAAAATTGTGTGCATTTTTTGGGGGAAGTGTGTTCATAGATTTGTCAGAGCCTCAAAGAGGTTATGCCCAAATAAACTTTACTTTATTGTAGAAAATGTATTAGAGACAGATTCATAAGATCTGTTTTTATGTTCTAGTGTTGCCACTTGCAAATAATATAAATTTGTGCCAATTATGTAATTTAATTAGATTCTACTTTCTTCATCTTTAAAAATATTTTTTTTTTGCATTTCGATTTCCATGTACCTGGCATCAGATAAAAGTGTATTTGATTTCATCACTAAATGCTAGGTGCTTCACTGTATCTTATGGGTAATGGCAATGAGGCTCAGAACACACTCAGATTACTTGCTCAAGATCACATTTATCTCCAGGTAAGTTCTAGATCAAGACCCATGCTTAATCCACTCTCAAAATTGTCTGCTGTTTAAGAGTTCGCACTACCCTATATTTGGCAATACTTTTTCCTGGGTAGGATAATTTCTTGCATCACCTCACTACATAAAGAGAAAAGCAGCTAGCTGGTGATGGGTTTCTTCCACCAGGTAAGTCTCATTCTCATCCTGAACCAGTTAAGAGCTCTGTGAGCTGAGGAGGATAGATCTTATTATCCATTCTTTACAGAAGTGAAAACTGAGGTACAAAGGGGTTCAGTAATTGACCTTATGTCAGAAAGCTAGTAATTTGCAGAGCTAGAAGATTATGCTTCAAATTCTAATATTTCCTTACAAATCCTATTAAGATGACCTTGGGAATCTTTATTCTGCTAAGATTTTTTACTGGAGAGCTGACTATCTTCATAGTTCACTTTTTGGCTGTTCTTCAAAAAATTATTTTAAAGTACTTTGCAAAGCTTGAGCAATATTTTTCTCTGGAAGACAGGAAGGTATGTGACATGCCCATTGAACAAAGACTAATGACATTGTTAAGAACTGTTAAGAAGGGAGGGAAAAGGATATCACTTCTACATTGATTTTGGCTCTAACACATTAACACTAGATGATGACCTCTAAAATGAGGAAAGGGCCAACTTAACACTGTGAAGTGACAGGGATTTTGGAAATGAGGAATCAAGTTTGGCCAGAGATTCAACTCTGTAGCTACATGGCTACACAGCTGAGTAAAAGTAAAAGGAGAACCGAGAAATCATGTAAAAGCAACTGGTGAGAGTGTGACTTCAATTTTTTCTCTTTTCACTCCATCAATACGAATGGTCTATTACAATTTGTTAAACAAACAAACAAAACAGAGAAAGTACTGACACACTTTCCAACAGAGCCTTTGGGTGCCATCACAGTAGCCAGTCCTTAGGTATAGTTGTGCAGTGCAACTTTTGATTTTAAATGCATTTGTCCTTGGGATGCCTGGGTGGCTCACTTGGTTGGACGTCTGACTCTGGGTTTCAGCTCAGGTCATTATTTCAGGGTTGTGGGATTGAGCTCCACATTGGGCTCCTGCTCAACAGGGAGTCTGCATGAGATAGGCCTTCAATGTCCTGGTCAGGAAAGGGCAGGTGATAACACCTGTTATCAGCTCCTGACTATTTTCAGTGCGTTTCGGCCCCATATACTAGGGCAACTCCTCAGCTGCCTTCTTTTTTTTCTCTCCTTTCCTTTGTGTTTCCTTTTCCTCCCTTCTATCAATGCCTTAGTCTACTGACCAAGTATCTCATCCATTTCATTCAACACATTTGTCTTGGAATACTTCTGGCTGTCTCTAAAAATCAAATCAATCTTCAAAGGATGAAGGTACGTGCCCTTCAAGAAACTGACAACACAAAGGGAAATTCAGAAATAAAAGGCCCAAAGGGGCATAATGAAGATGTTACAGTTTGAATGATTTCCCTGGCCTTTTACTTTCTTTGCCTATAGCTCTTTTGTTAACATTGACATAGAAAGCATTTCAGGTTCATGGGGGCTGAGCTGGAAGACAGAAAAAAGAGAGAGAGAGAGAGAAAAAGCAGGTTATGAGAAACATTTTTCTTGGCTGTCCCACTCCAGGTCCAAAATGCTACAGCTCAGGGAAGTTTGGAAACACCCAGATAATTTGAGGCTTCTCTAGACTAAAGAGGAAAAGACTAGATCAATCTCTCTCTCTCTCTCTCCTTCTCTCCCTCCCCCCGTCCCTCCTTCCACCCCACTCTCCCCACCCCTACCAGCCATTAAGGATACAAACCAGGAAGCAGGCTCTCATTAGGCACTGGATCTGCCAGTCCTTTGATCTTGGACTTCCCAGCCTTCAGAACTGTGAGAAATAAATATTTGTTGTTTAAGTCACCCAGCCTGTGGTATTTTGGTATGGCAGCCTGCATTGACTAAGACAGGGGCATTCTCAGAATGGTAGGGTTTGTTCACACTCTCTTGGAACAGATGCGAGAGATATTAAGCCTTCTGGAGAATCACTGGATTAACACAGTGCCAACAAGTCATAGGTTAGTAGAAGGGGCTAAGGAAGGATTCTAAGCAGAGGAGGCCTGAAATGGACACACTGAGATCCAGAAAAGTTCTGGTGGTGCCTCAAGGTAGTGTCGGGCCAACAGAAGGTGACTGGCTATTCAGAGCTGGTGGTCACGTCATGCAGGGTGAGGAGACTTGGCAGCAGAAGTGGTTAAGTAGATGGCCCTCCACTAGGATCCACACCAGTAAGAAACAGAAAGCAAACGGAGAGGTGACCAGCCGTGGACTGCAGTGGCCAGGGGGTCACCAGAGCATCACACCTCCCTTGATGAAGCACTAAATGTTCCCAACACAGAACCATCTTTGCTGGGAAGAGGAGGGCCTTTGCAGGAATTTGCACCTTGAATTTGACTGAATACTAACCCCAAAGTGACAAAGCATAGTAAATGCAATGGGAAAGAGATTGTCTCCAACCAGAAGAGGCTGAGCTGGAAGAGACTCGTGCCATCCTCAACCTCTGCTGCTCTAGGGAAAAGGCCGCTGGAGTAAGATGAGATCAGTTAGCAGGAAGTAAAGAAAGTGTCATATTTTTATATTTTAAGCGATGACATTGGGATTTAAACAAGTATTCATAATTTGAGGGTGACAACACTCATTTGGATTAACAATATTGAAAAAAACCCCACTCGATTACTTTATTTTCATGCTTTTTAAGCAAGGCAAATGAGCCCATCAAATCACTAACTAATTAAAAGCAAAAAAAAAAATCATCTTGTGATAAATGATTGGGTTGGAATTTATGTTCGTGCTCAGCTGCATGAAAAGCACAAGGCATATTTCATAATAGACCAGTAATACTGCATTACACAAAGTTCTACATGAAGTTCATCTGCAAAAGAATTATTCAGCTAGTTACTGGAAATAATGTCTCTAGAGGCCCCATGTAAGTTCCCACTTTGCCAGGCTGTTCTTGCCCCCTACAGACTCCTCCATCTCCCTGGCCTGTCAGCTGGCTTCCTCCCCACCAATAATGTGCATCAGACACAGTCAATGTAAAAGCTACACAAGGAACTCGTAACCATGACTTCAGAGTCCCACCACTCTGGGACCAAAAATAGTGACCAATTGGGTCATGTATCTTATTCATTATATTTGCCTAGAAGCAACTCCGAAATCTAAAAATCACTTTCTGGGGCACCTGAGTGGCTCAGTCTGCTGAGCTTGATCTCAGCTCAGGTCTTGATCTCAGGGTTGTGAGTTCAAGGCCTGCACTGGGCTCCATGCTGGATGTGGATCCTACTTAAAAAAAAAACAAACACTTTCATACTCAAAGGGAAGTGATTGGTAAGACAACTTTCAAAATCAAGGAGAAAGTATTCCTTTTGGAATTGAATTGAATATTCAACTTCACTAAAGATTTTAATGACTTTACTCCTTATAGTATATAACAAGCAATTTAGCATTTAATAATGCCTTACATTATTGTCAGATTCCTTCGCTTATCCTGAAAAGATGGTGAATTCTTTGAAGGCTGAACATCTGGTCTGACACTTTTCTGTTTTGCTTTGTGGTAATTAGCAGAGTGGTAGGCACACAATAGTGTTACCTGCTTATTTATTACATGATTGAAAGGAATATATTAATTTTAAACTATATTAACATAGATTAAAGGTCTAGTCAAGAATTTTTATAGGAAAAATAGAAACAAAAACTTGGATGCACTATAGAACCTCTTATGAGCATGGTGAAAAATAAATCAGCTAGACAATCTGCTCTAAGATTAACGTAATAATTTCTACTGCCAAGAGATCTAAAAATATGGCCCAAACAAAAATCTGCACTGTTAAAGCAATAAAGCTCTTACCTATTAAGGTAAGACATTCAATGCTTGGACTTATTAAGAATGTTTTCTTTGATTATAAACAAACTTAATTTTAAAGGCTTTTCATGTAGACTAAACAAAGACTTTAAAAAAAACATTAATTTATTTGAGAGAGAGAGAGAGTGTGTGTGTGTGTGTGTGTGTGTGTGTGTACATGAGTAGGAGCAGAGGCAGAGGGGGAAGGAGAGGGGAAGCAGACTCCCCAGGGAAGCCTGATGTGGGACTCCATCTTGGACCCTGAGATCATGACCTGAGTCAAAACCCAGAGTCGGACACTTAACCAACTGAGCACCCAGGCACCCCAACTGAACAAAAACTTCTAAAAAATTCACTATGGAAGGAAAAATGCCTGTTAGGGGCCCTCCCTTTTCTCAGAGTTGGAAGAATTGGACTTGCACCATGTTGTGTTAGGACTATGCAACAGTGTCTGCAGCTATAGTACCTTTTTGGATAAGTGGTTTCTTTCTGCAAAAAGCTAAGGCATGCCTGTCTTTTGCACATTCCCTGTATTAACATTATTTTCTCTGCAGCATCTGTTTAATTGAAATAGAATCAAGAGTTTCTGCTGATCACCTGCCTAAGATCTAAGAGGCCTATGAGCACTGGCACAAAGGGGAGAATCTCTAAGGAAGCTTTGGACAAACGACAGTTGGTTTCTTGTGATTGAGGTCCCCCATTCTTAGCAACAATGCCACCACAGATCTCCACCTTTCTTCTCTGGGTAGGCTCACCATGGTCCCCCAGACACATTTTTGTGATCTTTCTCAGTCTGTTTTGTTACTTGGAATGGCCTCTGGGCTACTGCCCAGCTATAAATCTTACTCACCCTGCAATCCAGTTCATGTGTCTTCTCTTCCAGGGAGCCTTCCCAGACCAGGTCTCCCATAGGTAATATTCGTTATTCTTATGGTTTTTATCTTCATCTGTAAATGGGGAAGACAATAGTACTTATAGCACAAAGTTGTTGTGAGGATTAAATGTCTTAATTCATGTAAAGGGATTAGAACATGCTATAAACATACTGATGTTAACAGTTTGGCTATTATTATTTATTATAAAATATCTGATATTTAAGATATTTTGTCCCTTTTGTTGAATATTTTCTTTCTTTCTTTGCTTACTTCTGTGTTTATGCTTTATCCCCACAAGAGAGGGAGAAGAACAATGCAGGTTTGTAGCTGGAGAGCACCCTTGTTCTTGAAGTGTGTGTAGTTATGTGCTGCACACTGGTGAGTGTTCAGAGAACCCAAGACCAAGTCCCATGGACACAATGACCGAGGATCCACAAGCCTGGAAACCCATGAAATTTTAATCTTATTAAAACCTTGTTCACCACTCATTTAACTACACAATTCCAAGGCAGAGAAACAGATCAGGCTGGCTTGTGACTTCCCATCATTGCAATAGGGCATTCCAACTCAAAACTTTCCTGGAAACAGTCCTACTTTTATCAGGGCAGTGAAAGAAGAGGATGCAAACATCGCCCAGTGGTCTTCCAGAGCCAACGCTCAGGGAATTTGGCTTTCCAAAAGAGTTAATTCCTCAATCCCTGAAATGAGCAACAGTGCTGAAGATAAAGGGTACTTCTGTCAAGGAGAATGGTAACACCAAGCAAGACTCACGGGTTCATTTTCCTTTTATGATTCCATGAGGCGTTCATAATCATAGGGAATGGCTGAATTGCTGATTAGACTGGGGGTCATGGAGGTGATGAGGATTCCTTCCTTCCTTCATCTCTCCTTCCTCCCTTTCTTCCATCTTTTTTTTTTTTTTCCTTTTCATAATATATTTCTAATGTCAAACATTTCCTTTGATGATTACTTGGATGTTCTAGCACTATACAGACCTGCCCTCCATTCCCCCTACCTCTGATCCCCAACTGGCCAACCATGGAATCATGAGATTTGACTCAATGAGCTTCATTCAATTCCTTCATATTAGAAGCTAACTTTTCTGTCAACAAATATTTATTGAGTGAACAGCAAGTGTCAGCACTAGCCTAGGTTCTGGGGAAAGAACAGTTAATGAATGAGACAAAATCAGGATATTTATTTTCCAGGGAAGGGAGGTGGACACCAAATGAAAAATATCAACGCTTCAGATTATGGTAAGTTCTATGAAGAAAATAAAAGGAGGTGAAGGGAATAAGGAATGTCGGTGTGTGTGCACATTATGTATGGGGCAGTTAGGGAAGTCTGCTTTGATAAGGTAGTGCTGGACAGAGACTGGAAGGAAGGTAAAGGGCAAGCCACGTACAAATCTGGGGAAAGAACCTTCTAGACAGGTTCACAAATGGAAAGGCCCAGATAGAGGAGCAAGTTTTGTCTGGCGAACAACGATGGGGCAGGAATGCACAGGGAAAAGTCATAGGAGATGAGGTCAGAGAGACAATGGGGCCAGATTGCAAAGGGTACAGGAATGACTTGGGCTTTTCCTCTGAGTGTTGTGGGAGCCATGGGCAAGTTTAGAGCAGAGGAGTGACATTCTGACTGTTGTGAGGACAGTAAATAGAAAGCGAGAGGCTGGGAGCAGGAAGGAGGAAAGGCAGGAACTTCTGGGGGCCATTTAATTGCCACCTGTCCTTTCCTATTTTAGTACCAGAACCCTGATTATTTGGTGGCAGCTGTGTACCCAGCTGAAATCTCTGTTTCTTGGATCTCCCTTAGAACTGGACCATAGTCCTGTGGCTACGTTCTGGCCAAAGAACTGTAAGAAGATGATGGGTAGCATTTTTGGAACAGTGTTTAAAAACAACATACTCGTTTGGGAGGAGGTCTTTTTCTTCTTTTGCTTCCTCCTGTTGCCAGCCAGAAACATAAACATAAGGGCTGGAGCTCCAGCGGCCATCTTGAATCCTCAGGTGACATTTAAAATGAGGATGGTGGAACAGAAAACTCCCACAGCTCCCTGATGAGAGCATGGAGATGCCTCACCCGCTCTGCCCTGCCTATTTCTGGACTCTTTTCACAGGGAGAAATGCACTCCCGTGTTGTTCAAGCCATTGTTATTTGGGATTTTTTTTAGTTCAACCCAGCTGAACCTGAATATAACTGATATCAGAGCCCACGGCAATGCTCCAGGTGACAGAGCTGATGGACCAGAGACGTAGTACAGGAAGTCAGATTCTCGTTAACATTTAGGCTTTGCAGATGGGTGAGACATGGGAGTGAGGGGAGGAGAAGAAGTAAGGAAGACTTCCAGGTTTTGCGTCGAGTGTCTTGATAGTGCCATTAATTACAGAGAGGCAGAAGGCTGGAAAGAGAGCATGTGGGGGTGTGGGGCTGGGCTAGGGCGGAATCAAGAGTCCAGAGCCGTGACGAGTTGACCTTGCTAGAAGCAGGGAGAGACACAGTGAGATGGGATGGCAGATAGAAAGCGTGGGCCGTACATTGGTGGAAAAATGGGAGGCGCTCCTGTCCAATGCTTCCATTTTCTCAATAAAGCATGAGGCCAGGTCATCAGCTGAGACTGAAGGGATGGAGGTAGAGGGTGGAGATGGGAGGAGAGAGACAGAATGGTGAAGTAGTCATTTTAGATTGTGTGTTTGCTGGGTAGCAATGAGTGAACTTTGCTGGACATTTGGGCTAATTTAAAGTGAAGCGATTACCCACACTGTGTGTCTTTCTGCAGTCCAGTCCGGTGGCACCATCGGGTTTCACAAGGTTTTGCCAGGCAAGTACGACCATATAAAACGAAAGAACGTAGGGAATGAATGAAGTGGTGTCTGCAAGTTGGGGATCACAAGGTAGGATCAGGAATCAAAACTGGAGAAGGAAGCAAGTGAACACACAAGCAGAATGATGGATGGAAAAGTTGAGGGTTCCTGAAAAGGCCGAGAAATGGCCAGAGTGTGGGCACTCGAGGAGCTAAGCAGAAGGACAGGAGCTGATGGTCGGAGGGGCTACTGTTGAAAATGAGGGGTTCAGATGAGAGAAAGAAAAAGTCATTGAAGAGAGAAGGGATGGAGAAGTCCAAGGTACTGGATGGAGGTCAAGGTGTTAAAGTATATTAACTATAAGACTAAGAATAACAATGGTTCACAAATTCCTATAATGAGTTGATTTATAAATGGTTTGAATAAAGATACCATTCATCAGTATAAGTATTTTAGATAAATTTTTTTTAAAATTTTTTTTGTTTTGTTTCAATGGGACATTTATAGGACTTCAAAGAGCAAAGTTTTACCCCCAAAACAAAGTTTTACCCCCAAAAATACAAGGTATTTTTTCCCATGTGGAACTTCTTTGTTTCTTGGTTTCTTTCCCTTCTTGAGTTTTTAATTTTATATTTTTTTCCTTCCTGAGTTTTTAAAGGTGATTAGTCCATTAATGCACTCTTTAGAAACTGACCTGTTTTTTTCTTTCTAAAATTCTTCATGTCACAGTGTGTTTCTTTGAAGCTGGGCCTCATTCTCTTGTCCTTGCCTCATAACTTTTTCACAATTGAAAAAAAAAAAACACTTTTCCCCATATTTACTTACTTTTACAGCTGTTTATTTCCTTTCTTCCTGCCTCATCTCCCTGTTATAACCTCACTCTTGCTCACATTCCTTTGTTGAGGGGAAAGAACTGGAAGCTTTCCCAAATTGTTCCCGGAGAGAAGTCTCTAGACCCTGGGCAGGCCTTGCAAGCACACAGGACCTTGCACAGCACATCTAATGAAAAACATTCATCTCACAGGGCCAGGCCACAGGTACAGGTCTGATTTGTCAAAGATGGTCTCTGAAACATCATCAACATTGCTTTGCTTTCCCACCCCTCGGTCCCTCTTCATTAACGCAAAAATTATTAATTGAGAGCCTATTCTGGGCTACTCAGTGTGGTGATTAAAGTAATTCGCATTAATGGGCAATGACTGATTGGCTCAATTCTCTCGGGGGCATTCACATTTCTCAAATGTGCATATTAATCCAAATAAATCTCTGATTCACGGAATAAATGTGAAATAAACCATTAAGAGTCTATTCAGGATTTTTGGTGACAGAACAAAGGGACTTCCCTTCCCTTGGGATCCCAAAGCAGCCTTCTGATCCCTGAGGAAGTGGGCTAAGACAGAGAACTGGGAGGTAGAATGTGTGTGTGTGTGTGTGTGTGTGTGTGTGAGAGAGAGAGAGAGAGAGACACGACCCACCTCATCTCTAACTCTCTCCAGCTTATGATCTATGTGTCTTCATTGTTTCAGAGCAGGAGCGACAGGTACATATGGATTACAGTTAAATTCCATTACCCTTAGATTATAAGCTCTTGCTTTTAGGATCCTATTCCCCAATTTTCCATGGAAACGTTTTCAGATACCCACCTTTAAAAAGGTTTTCAGGAAAACCGTCTTAGCTTCATAGAGGTCCTGGCTGCTGATTCTTCCTTGCCACTGGTCCTCTGCTATTGGAATGAGAGAGGAGCCAGAGATGAGGGCACCAAAACCCAAGGTGTCCGTTTCTCAAGGCGGCCTGGGTTCAGTGAACTATATCTTTTCCTGCAATGGCTGTGCAAATTATGGGAAGAGGATCCTGGCTGGGAGATAGTGCAGTGCAGTGGTTAGGATGGTGGGCTTGAGGGTGGGACAGATATGATGAGTGTGGCTCCCAACCCAATTCCTAGGAGCTCTGTGTCCTTGGGCAAGTCACTTTAGCCTCAGATGGTGCGGCTTCTCTATACAGCAACAAATGATTCTTACTGAAAGTGTGGCTGATGAGAGCAGCCCTTCCGCGCATTGCCCACCTGTTGCCAGATCTGTGTGGGATGCGGTCTTTCTACCTTGGGGGGTTTTCTTTCAGGCCCAGAGGCTTCCCATGGAATTAAGGGAAATGGGGTATGTAAGGGCTCTTCCCCTTCATCTCTGCTAGAGGAAGGACCTCCTTGAGTCTTGCCTCTCTGGTCGCTACGTGGAGGAGCAGCTCTATGGAGGAGTAGCTGAAGAGTCAGGGCGAGCAAGAAGAGAGCGTCCTCTTCCCTTTCTCTTCCAGGAGTCGGGGCGCTGAGCCTGGCCCCATGGGGCATGTTTAATTTTAATTCACACCACTTGCTCTTTGACCATCTCAGTGAAGCCTGGAATATATACCCAAGTACCTTTTACCGGTTTTTTGTAAGCAGCTCAGGATACAGAAGGAGAATCAAGTTTCTGAAATGAAAAAAAAAAAAATACAGATACAGTTAAAGAAGTCGTGCTTCTTCCTGCCCGGGAACTGTTTACAAGAGGGAAGTCAGCGGGGCCCCCAAGAGGTCGCTGGTGGCGCAGAAACTGAGGCCAGATTGTAGAGCAAGGGGGAAGGAGAAAAACACCCAGAAACTTTCTTCCTAGTTGCGAATAATCGCCGCCCCCCACCCCTTCGTCCCTCGGTCAGAGGCAGTAACGTGACACCGGGAGAAACCCGGAGACCCGAGCGCGGAGAGGGAGGGAAGAGGGAGGAGAGAGGACTGCGGAGAGCCCGAGAGGGAAAGGGGAGGGGAAGAAGGAAAACCCCTGTCAAGGAGGTGGAGCGAGGGGCTGGTGTCCGCCTCCTGTTCCTCCCTGCCGTCTTTTAGAGGAGTCTGAACCGGGACAAAACCCGCCGAGACCGACAGACACAAAGCCGGGGGGTCCACGCTGGCGCTGGAGGCGAGCCCCGGCGGCCGCGAGCGAGCCCGAGGCGCGGCTGGGCGCGGGGCGCGGGGGCGCTAGCGGGCGCGGGCGCGGGCGCGGGCCGAGCCGGGGCCGGGCACCTCGGCCGCTCGGGCCGCGGCGGCGGGGACCATGCCGAGGAAAGTCTCCTGAGCCCGGCAACTTCGGCCCCTCCCCGCCCCCACCCGGGCTGCCCTCCGCGCGGCCCTTCCCATGTGCAGCCGGGCGGCCGGGCTCTCCTCCTCGCAGGCGGATGGGTGACCTTTTCCTGGCACGGGCAGGCTGTGCGAGGCGGCGGTGCAGGCGATGAAGAAGAAGCAGCAGCATCCCGGCGGCGGCGCGGATCCCTGGCCCCATGGGGCCCCTCTGGGGGGCGCCCCTACAGGCCTGGGCAGCTGGAAGCGCCGGGTCTCCCTGCTGCCTTTCCTGCGCTTCTCCCTCCGGGACTACGGCTTCTGCATGGCCACCCTGCTGGTCTTCTGCCTGGGCTCCCTCTTCTATCAGCTCAGCGGCGGACCCCCTCGCTTCCTGCTCGACCTGCGGCAGTATTTGGGTAAGGAAGGGGGGCGGGCGAGGGCGGCGTCGGCCGCGCGAACTTGTGCGGGGGTGGGGGGTAGAGGGGCGCCGGGGACTTGTGGCGCTGCGACCGCCCGCCGGCGCCCCGAGGCTCCCCAGGTGGGACTCCCCGGTGCCGGCTTTCTCCCGCGCGTCGGTCCCTCTGCCCCGAGGCGGAGGCGCTGCCTGGGTGGCGCGCGGGGCAGGTTCCCCGGGCTGGGCACCGCATACCTTCCCCGCCTCTGCCTCTCGGTCTGGGGTGGAGTGCAGGCGTGTGTGTTTGTGGGTGTGTACGAGTGTGTGTTTTCTGGCCCGGAGATGTGGGGAGCGGAGAGGGGAAAGCACCACCGCCCCCGGGCTCGGGGCATGGTCAGTGACCGTCGTCCTCAGTCCCGTGAGCTCTTCGGGTCGTGCGGGGGTTGGGGTTCGCTCCTCACCCCGCTTGCATCTGCCAGTTCCTCCCCTCGAGTCCCCCTCCTGCTTGTCAGCTCAGTGGCCCAGGGGCAGTTTTCGGGCTCCGTGCTGACCCTGGGCTGGCTTGTCTTTCGGCAACAGCGAGGGGGACGCGGGGAGCCGCCGCGCCCAGGGAGGGGGGCGATCCGGGGCTATCCGAGGGCAGGGGCAGTCTGGCTGGTAGTGTCGCCTACTTTGACCTGAAGAACCTCTGCGCTGCGTGTGTTTCAAGTCAGAACTTTTTTTGGGGGGGGGGGAGGGAAGGGCTTGTGCTTGGTTTCTTAAAAGCGAGGCTGCCTATTTTTAGCAGAGGTGAGGAAGGGGTTGCACCCAGAGAGAAAAGAGCGGCCGCAGAGAGAGGGCGTGACCCGAAGCTCTGTGCCGCGCGGGGAGGGCGGTGCCAGAGCCGGGCAAGCGCAAGCCCCGGTCCCTGGACCGCGGCTGGCGCGCGCCCGGACCCAGGGAGGCTGCAAATCTCTCACCGGTCGTGGCCAGAAGAGGTTTTGCAGGGGCGGGATGGGGTGAGAGGCTGGGGAGTCGCCAGCTCCTCGCAAAGGTCCGAGGTGATGAACCTGAGCCACCGGGCAAACATCCGGCATCTGCCAGCGGCGAGCCGGTGTGCAAAGGGAAGCCTCCGAAGCGCTGGACCATATCGGGCCGAAAGACTCCAGTTGGCTGAAGGCTGCCACACTTCACCTCAAAAGTCCTCCCCACCCCCCCGCCCCCAGTCGCAGAAGCCACAGGTCTAGCTAGCAGGCTGTGTCGGGAGCGTTTTGATATATATAAAAGCAGGTAAAATCATGTTCCCCATGTAGAGAAGCTCAGATTTTAAAAGTTTCAGTAGAAACTTTGGAGAGCTATGGTTTTGTAAGATGCTTTAGGGAAAATATTGTCCAAGCAGATTTCCAAAGCACAATCCTTAGCATCTGGTTTCTTAGAGTATTTGGGATAATAAGCACTTTTATTAGGGAATCAAATCTCTTCTCTCCCTGAGTTCTGGATTTTGGAGTCTCTGTAGCTTCTTAGATTGAGACACCTGCTAGTGCTCCAAAGCTAACTTTTTTTTTTTTTTTTCCTTTTTCTTTCTTTCCTTTTTAAAGAGTTAACAACATCTCAGCATTAACTGGCATTGGGAAGTGTTTTGAAGTCCAGGGGTCTATAAAATCTGATGACGAATTCTTTGTTGAAATTCCCCTTAAGCAAAATGTGGAGGCCAATGAGGCAGGAAAAACAGTGGATGGGGAATGAGGGTATCTGTTTTTAGTGCCCTCAAGAGCACTTGGCTTTAGGCAGGGCACTCAAACCTCATGGGCCTTAGCTTTTTCATTAGTAAAGTTAGGGTCTGGACTAGGTTGTATCTCAGACCTCCACCCAGGTCCTGAAATGTTGTGTTTCTGATCCCTTCTTAGGGGCGGGAAGTCCTGAGAGGTAGAAAGAACAAAAGCTATACCAGGGGCAAAATCAAGAAACTGAACTATCCAGCATGTTAACCTTTTGAAAATTGAGCCAGAGTCTGTTGTTCCCAGAATTGAGTGCTTTCATCCTGTATTTCAAAAAATGAGACCTGATAAATTTGGGGGCTCAGTTACTAGAAGGATGCATTCACTCAGGGAACTGGGAGGAACTTATGGGGCAAACATTGCTCCTGCTACTACTAACTCATCATTAAGTTTCTGACTGACATGATGGGTGAAAAAAATGACATCACTGTGAACTGAAAATAGGACACCTTGGCCAAATTTGTTCCCTGTTGTTTTGTTACATAAATATAATGATTGAGGGGGGAAAGTGTGCCTGTGGTCTTTAAGAGGGTCTAAAATATACCCTTAATAATATAAGGCCAAGGTGTCTGCAGAATACTTTCCCCTTGTTTCCTCCATTCTATTATTTTAGTGTCTGTCAAAACAAAATTTGTGGTTAGTAAACATATCCTCTCAATTTCCTGAGTTAGGCAATTTTGGAGACAACTATTTTTCTTAAATGTAAGTTCGTATAAAGTCAAAATTTTCCAAATCGAAATATTTATAGCAAAAAATTTTCTTGACAGGAACTTATTTTAATATACTTAAATAATATAATACATCTCCACATAATAGCTACTTGATATTTATGGCAATAAACTGGACCTATTGTATCAAATAGGTCATATGATATTTAACATATTGAATATTCTCACAGCAAGCCAGAAGATAGGAACATTCATGATAAAAGCTAACATTCATTGTGTATGTTCCAGTAAACACACATGCAGAGTGAAATTGTACCCACATACCAATATTACAGGAAGCTTCAACTGTTGTTACCAACACCATTTTTGGTGTGAGAGAAATGAGAACAGAGAGATTCACAGACTTGCTGAAGGACACACAGCCGGTAAGGTAGGACTTGAACCCCAATCTGTCTGCTTCAGGCACCTATTGCATAACTCTACAAGCAGCCAAGATGAGAGGGGAATCTGAAGAGCTGACTGGCTAAAAATAATCTCATTAGGTATTTGCATAATTTCACTTTCTTTGATACTTTTAATGTGAGTATCTTAAAGGGCCAGCAGAGAAGGGAAATAAGTCAAGCAGCTGGTCTGTCTGCTCTTAACTCCACCTTCCTGTATTAATTTCCCTGTACCAGCAAACTCCGTTCTCCCAGAGCCACACACCTGGGGGTGCTGTCAATTACAATCTTAAATTCCTGAACTTTCTGTCTTCCTTTAGCAGTTTGTTCTTTGTCTAGGCTAGTAGTTTTCAGTGTGTGGTCCCTGGACCAGCAGCAATCACCTGGAAACTTGTTGCAAATGCAGATTCTCAGGGCTCATTCCAGACCAACAGAATGAAAGAGTCTGGGTCCAGGACCCAGCCGTCTGTATTTTAGCAAGTCTTCCAGGTGACTCTGATGCAGCCTGAAGTTCGAGAACCATCATTCCAGGGCAAAGCTTTACTTTCAGAATGCCTCCTATATAGTTGAGTGAAAGAAGGGAGGTACAAGAGAGGCGATTCAGAAACTATTTTAAAGGTGATGTGCATGGTTTTATCTTTTACAGCTCAACTTTTAAAAATGCATCTGCTTTGCTGCTTAAGCCCCATTGTTTCAAGGGAAGGACCAGCCAACAGCTGCAGC